GGGGACATAAACTTCTAGACCTTTCCTTAAAATGGGCCCATCCACACTAGATATGACTATCCCATAGATTCCTATTCAGTTCATGTGCATGTTTCATCTTATTTTAATGTCTTTAGCTTAGGAAAAGGCCCAGTTGCCAGAGTGACCAGGAAGAGCATTCAAACAGGTTAGCCTTTATGCACACACTACCCAGTCAGTTTCACAGGGTTCTTGACTTACCTGACATTTGTGGTCTCAAGAATGCAGAGCACAGTAGCTCTGTCACAAAGTCTCATGATTCTGCTGACTTTCTCCTAAGTTTGCTAACATAACCCATTCATTTTTACTAGCTAAACTTGCTGTCTCCAGTCCTCTTTTGATTGGTTCTGCACACTCTTCAAGGCCCACCTCTCAGCTGATCTGCTCCCAGAGCCTATCCTTTACAGAGGCCATCTGGCTACACAGGCTCAATGAACTAAGGCTCACCGTACGGCCCTGGGAAAGAGCCCTAATCTGTAAGCAGGAAGCCTGGTTCTGGCTACTTCTCTGCTACAGACTTGCTGTGCAATCTTTCATAAGTCCCTTCCCCTCACTGGATCCATCTCCTCTGATATCCTTCCAGCTGGGGCAACCCAAGTTCCTCTGGTTCTCCTCTGCTGGACATGTGGCCCTACAGTACTGTTTCCTGGAGGCAGGGCCAGCTTTGCAGTCCTTCACACTACTGCCAACCATATACATTCTAGTTCTCACTGTGATCACAACTACTGACTTCGCCAATGGAAAGGGGACCTTGAGAGGGCTCCCTGTCTGGTTTCTCTGCAACCACAATAATTGAGCTACATAATTTGTAGCTCAGGTAGAACTAGGATTCTAGCTTTCAAACACCCAGCCCTTTTAAGCTATGAGCATCCTGGCCAGGTCATTTCTAAATCCCACTGAAAGGGTATGGCACACAGCACTCAGTAAATGTTTGTTGAATGAATAAACACTACACTTTCTCTACAACCCTAAAAGCCATAGAATGAACAAAGCACCTAAGAACCAAAAGAGAGCATCCAATTCCTTCTACAGAACCTAAAACTTCAGGCTATAAGACTAAAGTATATCATGTGATAGGGTGGCACTTTCTTGGAACCATGTTACTTTTAGAAGTACTATGATGGAGTGGTACTGTTGTGACACTCTTTCCTTACCCTCACCCCATCTATGTGACTCCAGTGAGTTAGTCAATGATGTGAAGCTCTTTAGTGCTTCGGTTTCCTCCTATGTAAAATACCCAGATCAATCTGGGTAACATAGTGAGACCCTGTCTCAAAAAAGGACAGCATACCTCTAAAACTATAGGGAATAAGCATTTAGCTAATAGCTAATTAACAAAGCACCCCTTTCCTACATGGTAGAGAGAGCCTATCTACACTCATCTACACATGAGAACAAGGACACACAAGAAGTGAAGCAAGTTGCCCAGGATCTCACAATTGGTAACTTGGAGGCATCAGTTGAATCCAGGCCAGGATCACATCCTGGTGAAGCTTGGTAGAGGGTGTGCAAAGTCCTAGTAATGCATGCGGCGTCAAAAAATTTGTTCCTGGTCTGAACCCTCCTCCATCAGCATTTGACTGGCGGGATAGTGGCTCTGAAGCTCCCCATGGGCCTCTTTGCAGAAATCAAGAGCAAGGCTCCACACACTTGCACACTCTACAGACTGTATTTTCTATGGAACGAAGCCAGCTTTGTAGACACTCGTATCAACATTTGAATGATTCCACAATGCCTTTTTCAATTCTTCCTGTGGGGCCTAGCACCTGGAAGACCGGAGCCTATACTAGGACAGGTGTGAAAACAGAAGTGAAGGCATTTTTAGCCTCTCCCAGGCAGAGCTATCCTCATTCAGTTGCACTGGACTGTGCTCAGGGTAATACAGAAGACCTCTGGTGTCCACAGGTCCAGGGAGACCACCACTAAGGAAAACTTGCCCAGCTCGGGATGTATAATGCTCCCCACAACTTCGCTAAAGACATGCTTCCTTCCAACAAATCTCAAATTTTCACTTGATCACTTAAAGTAAGCACAAAAAATGTTTACCTTGCTTTTGGGGAGTCATTTGCTTTTTGGGAGGCAGATTTTCACAACAGAGCAACTCAGCAGATCATACAATGATTGAAACACAACTGACAGTAACAAGGGACTGACTGAGAGCTTCTCCACATCAACTGAGCTACATAACGCACAAAAGAGAATTTAAATTTTTTGTTATGGGAATTTCTTTTGGTTTTTAAAATCTATTCAATTTTTGACCACATTTGGTCAAAATGACACATAATAAATCCATGAGTAATGCTGGCATACTGTACTAGGGCCCAGAGAGCCTAGACTTTCCATCTGCAGATAGTTTCAGTAACTTTGGCCCTAACGTTAGGGACAGTAACCATGTCCCTAATATGGTTTCCTCTGATAACTTAAATGCTCAGCCCAAAGTGCAGTTGCAAAGTAACTCATCTTCCCAGCTCTGCTAAGAGGCCCTGCTCAGCACGTGCTGCTTACCAGCTGCTTAGAACTGCAGCCCACAGTAAGAAGTATACTGGCTGGAGGATTCTGCAGACCAAGGCAACCCTAGTAAAAACCTTGTTAGGGTTTTAGAATTACTACAAATAAAAGCAGGGCATGGTGGTACATGTCCGTAATCTCCCCACTTGGGAGCTGAGACGAGGATTAAGAGTTCAAAGTCAGTCTGGGCTACATAGCCATACCCTACCTCAAAACAAAACAAAAAATTACTACAAAAAGCTTATAGTCCCCTGGGGCTCAGCAACAGTCTAAGAATACCTATTTAAAAAGAAAGAAACATGAAATGTGGTACAACAAATATAATGAAATTTTCAGCCTTAAAAAGGAGAAAATTCCTACATATGCTATAGCATAAAAGAACCTTGAGGACATTCTGCTAGTTAGAGTAAAAGCCCACAAAAAGACAAGTACTGTACAATTCCACTTACATAGGAACATAGTAAATCTGTAAGACAGAAAGCAGGGTGGGGGTTGCCAATGGCTGGGGAGGGAAGTTACTGCTTAATGAACAGAGTTTCAGTTTTGCAAGGTGAAGAGTTCTGCAGGTGGACAGCAGTGGTGGCTGTACCTTACCAATGTACCTAATATCACTGAACTGTACAATTAAAAATAAGATGGAAAATTTTATGTGCATTTTACCACAATAAAAACTGATGAAAAAGAAAGGCACAGCTTGAACACTATGCTCTTAGCACCAGGATTAGCACTGCATCATTGAGCCAAAACCAGCTCTGTAATAGATGTTATTCATCTTTACACAACTCCCAGTTTTCCTTCCCTCCTCCTGCTGAATGAAGTATCTCCTCGTCCTGCTCCTGAAAACCAGCATTTTCTTAGAAATCACTGGCTCAGGAAATACTGTGGCTTTCAGCTGTCAGTCCACTAGGGACCCAGCTCGGGGAGGTAGGTACAGGAAAGAGAACCGACCCCCTACAGTGAAGAGCTCCCCCATGTGGCTGCAGCATCTTCCCAGAAAAGACAGACACACAGACACACACACACACACACACACACACACACACACACACACACACACACACACACAAAGATTTCTTTTCCAAATTAAAGATATAATCTCACTATTATTGGTATTACCAACCTCAGTATCAGGGGAAAAAACTACATTGTAGATAATGTCATCTTTAAATTTCTTCCACATGAAACTGGAAGAAATTTCCCTGCTTTAAAAAATAGACACTTGTTTCATGAAATAAGCAATTCACATGATCCAAGAAAACCAGTTTCCATTTTTTCCCAATAAAATGCCATTTGTCAACATTTACAAGAGCACACTCACCAATACACTGCCCCTAAGAAATCTTTTATTACATTACACACTTTGGGGCTGTAGAGTGGATCAAGTGGTACAGCACCTGGCTAGCAAGCACAAGGCCCTGAGTTCAACCACCAGGAAAACAAAACAAAAAATTTCAAAATAAAAATACACAATTTCCTCATGGATCTAAAACTACCTTAGAGTTAGAAATTCTAAACAGCACTTAAGAAACCACATAACTGTTCAAAGAATTTGTTTAAATAGGCTTACTGTATGACAAAGATATGTTTTTTAATTATCCGATTTTTAGCTTACATGTCTTGTCATCATTTGCAGTTTTGCTGGGCAGTTAAGCACTTCATGGGGATTACTTCCTCTTCAGGAATTTGGACTTGGAACCCTAGGTTCACGGGATGTGCTACTTTGAGCAATTCTTCCTAGTTCCTCAGGCCTAAGAGCAACTGAAAGCTTACTCCCAGCAGGGCAGCATAAGCTAATAAATTCAAAAACTTACTTTTGGATGGAATTACATAAATCCAATGAAGAAATGTTGCTATCTCACTCTGATCACAAAAGTCCTTAATTTTCCAAACAAAATTTTACTGATAAATTCAATTTATCAAATTCTTTCTTTCAAAATTAATTTAGAATAAATAAATGGATGGACCCCCTGGTATACAGAGAATTAAGAATTGGGAGAAAAAAGATAATAATTTTATTGGCTATGGTTTTAGAGATAGAATAAGCCAGGTATGGTGGCACATGCCTATAATTCCACGTGGAAGCAGGATTGCAAATTTGAGGCCAACCTGCGCTACACAGTGAGACCCTGTCTCAAAAAGCCAGTAGTAAGAACAGAATAAGCAAACATCCAAGATTTCTGGTTTCTTTGAGTATTCCCCTGGGTACCAGCTACCTTTGAACACAGATCTGCCTGACAGAGGGATAGGCACACTCCTTGCAAATACCAAAAATGGCAATTACCAGAACAAAAATGTCTTGAAAAAATCACACCATTGCCAAAAACAGTATCTTGGATTTGAATGACTACACAGTTGTATGAGGAACAGCCAACCCAGCAAGAACACAATCTCCACAGACAAATTTTCTACCTTGTCTTTTACAAATCTTAAGACAGAGACTACAGGCCCTAACAGTGAGGCATGAGCGACCATACTCAGTATAAATCAATTAATAAGTTTATTAGCCATAGAAAAAAATCTGACCCTCAAAGTCAATTCTTGTTAAGTTTCCAATAAAACAATAAGCTTACAGAAAATGTCTTTCTCCTGAACAGAAAAATCACTACACTTTTGGTCCAAGATATGCTGGGTTTTTTTCCTTCTTCTTCAGATGACAGATGGGTGTAGCCGAATCTACGAACGCGTGTACTTGCCCCAAATGTGCAACATAAATACAGAAGCGATGAACAGAAGACTCATAACCAATACTGGAACGGGGCCACTAGAAATAAGAAGAGAAGGCATGCTTGCTTTAGTAATAGACATTATTATATTTAATGCTAAAGATGCCTAGTGACACAGTGGAGGTAAGAGGGGAGCACTTCATGTTCATCCTGGACCATTATTTACATCTCTAAAAATATTCCCAAGTGGTTATCTGGCTATTTTGAAAGTGTGATGATGGGTGGCACTGGGACATCTTCAGGGTGTGGCTCAAATAGTAGTAGCAAGCCCAAGCCCGAGTTCAAATTCCAATACAGCCAAAAAAATATTAGAAAGGTCATCTTCTCTTTGAGTGAAATATACTAAACAATATACAAACAAAATGATCTAATGTCTTTGAGATGCTCTCTTGGAGACAGTCTAATTTCATGTATTTGATATTTCCCGTATTAAGAAGAAAATTTTCCCAATCTGTTTAAGTGCAAATGATCCAATTACCAAAATACTCTTTTCAAAGTAAGACTCATTTACAGACAGTCTTTGCCATCTAACTATAATGCACTAGCTATACAATGATGAATAGCGCATTATATAATTTGCAAAGTGTTTTTAAATATATGATGACATTTGACCTGTACAAATTCATGACACAAGAAACAAGTACTCATCTCACTTTATAAATCAGGAAACTGAGGAGCAGAGGGATTATTACTTGCCTAAAAATACAGCCAGCATAGAAAGGAGAGATTTGAACTCAGGTTTTCTGATTGCACACACTGCTCATTTTACTGTCTCAAGAGTCCCATCTTCAAAGAGCAAACATTCTAGGCAACATGCATTAAATCTGATTTATATTTATGAGTTTAGTGTAGAGAAGAAATAGACTTTACTCATCTGCCCCAAATCAAATGTCTTTCCAGTTGAAAATTTAGTATGAGTTCTTAAAGGGAGAACTCCCTGGTTTTACACAGCCGTGAACATTTACTTTAGACACTGCTTCTCAGACTCTTTCCCCTCCCAGACAAAACTGGGGGGAGAGAGTGGAAAAGACCACAGAAAAGGAACCTTTGTAACCATCAGAGCAGTGGCAGAAACCCTGGTGAAGCAGCAGGAGTGAGAGAGACCATGACTAGACAACAAATGATGACCTTTGGATCAAGGTCTCTGCTATGGTACAATTTTGTTCTTCCAAAATTTAAGCAATTAGGGAGAAACAAATTTAAAAGAATGTGGGAAGAGATGGACAGCATGTAGCCCTTGAGATTCCTCTCTTACTTTAAGGTAATGACTCTGGAACGCCAGCCAGAGCACAAAGCTGAGCGTGCAGCTCTGAGTGCAGGCGCTTGCAATCAACCCTGACACTGACAAGCTGCACACAGCCTGTTACTTACCTTCTTCAAGCCTCAGTCTCCCCACTGGTAAAGTGGAGATAATCACAGTACTATCTTATGGTATTGCTGAAATAAATCAATACACACAAAGCAGACTTATAATAAGCTCTCTCAGGAAATGCTCATTATCAACCTCAACAAAATTCCAAACTCCCAGAAAGAGCCAAAACCAAGCTCCGAGATGCTGCGTGGCTACTCCAAGATATGGATTTATAGGTAAGAATTCCCAGCTGTCCTTTCATCAAAAACACCTATCTCTGATGTGATGAGAATGTGGTTTATAAAGCTTCTGCCAGTTCCTGGGAGGACTCAAGACAGCAGCCAGCAAGCTTGGCTGTACACCAGCAGAAAGCCCAGGCAGGCACAAGTCACTCATCCACCAACGCCTACTTCCCACCTTCTTGAGAATGGTTAAAAAAAGTCTCCTGGACACCCCCAAAGAGCAAGGGAATTCAAAATTCCAGTCTGATATTCTCAGAAAAACTACCTCTAACAGACTGGTTATCAGTCAGAACGCCAACCCACATATCCCCAACCTTAGGAATTACTTACTAAATACATCTTTACAAATCTCCAATAAGGGGAAAATCAGTAAGTCAATTAAACCAAATCAAGGGTTTTAAGGAAGCCTTCATAAACTAAATTTATAATCCAAGTCAAGCATCTGGTCAAATTAATTAAAGGAACCTAATTTTGTCTCTTTCCTACAGGCAGCAGTACGGAAGGAGCATGGGCTTTATGGGCGGAACACTCGCTTTCATCTCGAGTTCTGTGTCATTGAGCACGCTACTTTGCTGTCTGAACCTGAGCTTCCTTGGCTGCAAAATGGTACATCTCCCACCTCACAGGAACGCTAGGCAAATTAAACTAGAGAAAAGATGCAAAGTCCTTTGCACAGCCCCGAGGGCCACACAAATGACCTTCACTAGGATCGTTCCACTCCTCACGTATGGGGCTTAGTCAGGAAACAGCTGTGGGTGGTGTGCTGAAGGCCTCTCTGATCTGAAGCCTGTGGGGTTGGGTGAGGGGAGCACAGCTGTGGACAGGGGCCTCCTGGATACCTGTTTCCCTTCACCCATGAGCACTTCCAGGGCTAAGAACTTGAAAAGTGACAGGATCACCCTCCCTGGTCCACTTGCCACCCACCACAGGCAAGATGGACAAAGAACTCCTGGTAACACAGCCTAATGGAAAAACTTGCATTAGGCTATAACAGTATCAGCTAGTGCCTCCAGGAGAACTTTGAAAAATCACCTAATTCCTATTCAAATGTGCCTCCCACTTCTCAGTGTGGGCAAGAACACCAAATGAAGAGCAATTTCATCTAATGAGGCAGTTTTCCTCCAGGTCTCGCTGCCCCCATCATTTACTCTGACACAGAGACAGGAAGATCTTCCCTTCCTCTTACTCACTCCATAAAGAGATGTCATTCCAGGGCCTAACCTGTCCCACTGGCTGATAAATGGGCAACCCAATCCCAGCCCACCTGGCATAAATGAAGCCACTATGGATTGGAAATCTCATCAAAGCAAGCACCCTTTAGTCACTCTGGATAGATACATAGGTCTGCTCCCAACACTTACACTTTGAGCCCTGGTGAATCTTCTGTGTAGAATCGCCACATTCCCCCAGTCCCTGCCGAGGTCGTGCGGCCTGAACTCCGTGTCCCACAGCTGGCATTTTTCCTGAAAGAAAGGAGAACATTACCAATGGCCGTTCTTGGAAATCCTTTTAACAGAATTTTAACATATGCTGCCCTTACACGAATGAAGAATCAATAAGGAAAAACTTCTTAGCTGGGTGCAGGTGGCTCACACCTGTAATTGTAGCCACTCAGGAGGCAGAGATCAGGAGAATCAAGGCTCAAAGCCAGCCCAGATAAATGGTTCGAGACCGTATCTCGAAAATAACCAACACCAAGAAGGGCTGGCAGAGTAGCTCAAGTGGTAAGAGCGCCTGCCTAGCAAACGGGGGGGGGGGGGGCCTGAGTTCAAACACCAGTACCACCAAAAAAACTTCTTTGCCAGCACTAACTCAAATTCCAAAGTTGGGGACTGAGTACCTACTATAACATGCCAATGTACACAATTTCCCATTTTATAAATCAGGATAATTAGGCTCAGCAAAGGTTAAAGTATCTTTTCTGGAGGCACTAGGGTTTGAACTCAAGGCCTCCTGCTTGCTAGATAGGCACTCTACCACTTGAGCCACACCCTCGTACCTTTTTTTTGGGTTTTTGTTTTTGGTTTTTTTTTTTTTCAGATGGGGTCTCACATTTTTGCCTGGGGTTGGCCTCAAACTGCTACCTATGGCCTCCAGCATAGCTAGGATTACAGACATGTGCTTATTTGTCCAGATGAGGTATTATTAACTTTTTGCCTAAACTGGCCTCAAACTGTGATTATTCTACCTCTCCATCTCATGAGTAGCTGGGATTACAGATGGGAGCCACCATGTCCAGCTAAGCAAAGTTTCTAAGACCACAACAGCCAGCATGTTGATCAAGTTGTGATGTAGACCCAATTCTGACCCAGGGCCTATCCACTACCCAAACATCTGGCCTTCTCATCTGGACATGCATTTCAGTTTCTCTTCACATGTATTTTTGTAAAGCTGAGAATAATCTATATATAATCTGATCCTAAAATGGTTACTTTAGAGAATGTTTTAAAATTACCGTATTTACCTCAAGAGACAAAAGGCATTATGTTTTAATTATATCTGGGTCCAACAGTGGAGTATAATTTATATTTTATGAAAAAATACTTCATAAAATGTTTGCTATTTTGATAGACTGACCAGCTCAGAAGTCAAAAGGCCTAGCTGAGAATGGAGGAGAGAGAAAACCCTATCCCAGTACTGCCCACCATTACATAAATCCCGATATCCCTCCCTAAAACCCTAGTGTGAGTGGGCTGCTGATTCTGATTCTTTTCAAGGAAAGACTACATAGGGAGGAAATCCAAATAAAAACCCTACCTATCCCTACCATGTCTTCTCTTTTTCCTCCCAACTGTTGTCCTAAAGCCCTTCACATCCTACCATGACCTTTATACCACACTCTGAACACAAGAAGCACTGTCTGTAGCCCAGGGAGGTGGCACTGGCTGTATGAGTCCTGGATGCAGCATGAAGAAATGTGTTCCTGATAGAACTCTGAAAGCAATCAATGTTAAACAACAATTTGGGATTACTGTACTATAGGATTGCATTTCAGACTATTTATTTATTTTGTGGGGCTAGGGTTTGAACTCAGGGCATCAAGCTTGCAAAGCAGGCTCTCCACTACTTGAGCTACACCTCCAGTCCATTTTGCTTGGTAATTTTGGAGATGGGGTCTCCAAAACTACTTGCCTGGGTGCCTCGAACCGTGATCCTCCCAATCTCAGCCTCCCAAGTAGCTGGGATTACAGATGTGAGACACCAGCACATGGCCCAACTCTTTAATTGTGGACTATAAACTATCCTGGAAACTTATGACTCTATTTGTATGACTGTTTCTATGGGAAAACTGGTTGTAAACAACAAACAATTGTACAGGGATTTACATAGCAACTCATGCACTTAGAAAAGCTTTCACAGCCCAAAATACAGGTCACTTAAAGTTTCCTCCTTGTTCATAACAGGGAACTTCAGCTGAAATATAAACCCAGTGTCAACCTAGTAAGTCATCAGCTGAGCCAGGACTCAGACAGATGCAGTTGCCATGATTCTTACAACTTCCAAATTCAGTTTCTGTCTTCAAAGCTGGAACTATAGTATCTCCAGGGAAATCGGTATGGAAGATTTCAGACTTTTGCTGCCATAAAGCAGAATATTTAAAAACAAAGGCCCCTAGAAAAAACAAAATGTACTCAAAATACTTCCCATTCCCTCACTGGGAAGCTATGAAGAGGTTAATAACTGAGCTCGCTTTAATCTCTTAAATTTCTATTTGGGGCCTATTTTGCCTTTCTTTCTGAGCACTGTGTAACTGCCTTCTCCTTCCTATACCTTAAAAAAAAATTTTCGTTATCTACCCATTTATACACTTTGTTCTAACACAATGGCCTTCTGGCTGTTTTTTAACAAATCAAGCTCAATGATCTGTCTTTACATTTAACCATTCCCTTTGCCTAAGTAGTCAATTCCTCCCACACTACTCATGATTTGCTCCCTTGCTTCTTCCAAGACCCTACTCAAATGCCACGCACCCTGAACACCTAATGAAAACACCTATTCACCCTAACCCTATGCCCACCACTCTCTAACCCAACCCAGCTTTAGTTTTCCTTATAGCCCTTATTGTCTAAAATTGCATTACTTATTTACTTGTCCTGCTTACGGTCTCCCACACTGGACTAAGGTTCACAGAGTAAAGGACAAGCCCTGTCTACATTGTTTCCAGATGTATTATCCAAGCTAAAACAGTGCTTGGCATGTAGCAGACCCTTAATAACTACTGTGTAACTATCAACATCCTGGGTTCCTGCTAATTCTGTTTGAACACTGTAGCAGTTTTACAATTTCTAAAGCACTGTTGCTCCTTTTCATCCCCATAGTAACTTCCTTTTACATTAGATTAAGCAGAGCAAGCATTCCAACCCTGGCTTGACTTTAAACCCTGTAGGAGTCTTCTCCAAGGTATTATTACTTCTATTATTTCATTCATGAAGAATGCAAACCTGCAAGCTACATCATCCAAAGCATTATTATTAACCATTAGCTTCAGTTTTTCTTCTCAAAGACTTACAGAGAATGAATACATTCTTAAACAGCCAATACTCACTGTATTGCACTCATGAAACAATACTTACCCAGCCACCAAACTTCTAGAAGAGAATATTATAGGGTCTCTCAATACATACAACCAGTCTGTCCAGCTACACTGGTCCTGCCACACTGAATCCTAAAAGATGCTATCAATACCTGTAACTTTTTTTCTTTTGGCATTACTGGGGTTTGAACTCAGGGCTTGGTGCTTGCTTATTAGGCAAGTGCTCTATCTACCACTTGAGCCACACCTCCAGCCCCCTGAAAATTTAAAAGCTGCATCTGCCCACTTCACTTGTGCATGTTTCATTTTTAATTATACTGACACTTCATAAATATGTGCTTTAATTTTCTTTAAAAATTCTCAGGTGACCAAACTTTGCTGCCTCGGTACTATCACTTCTCTTTAACCAGAACCATTCCCCACAGATCTACACATGTCCACAGGACATGTTTTCCATTCAAACACAAAGAGTATCTGAATTCAAGGTAACAACAGGAACACTAAGCCAACATAATCAAAACCACAGCATGATACACTTCCCTTGAATATCCTGGTGACAGGACACTAACAGTGCAGGACAATATTACCATTTCTAACAGTTCTATTACAACTTCCTTCTCTTGGGCTGCCATTTGTCTCATGTAAGTTCAAATCATCAGGTTTAGATTTACTACTGTAAATTCAGATTTTTCTACTATACCAACACAAAAAGCCTCATCCTACATTCTTAAGGACACTCAAATCCTCTAATCTTATTAGTTCCGTCAAAAACTCCAAGGAAACAGGATTGCTTGGTTCCTTAATTCATTCATCATTTTATTGTGTCAGGACATGTAAGAAGAGCTAGGGAAAACAATGGACTCGGCAGTTTCTCTTTCAAAGTCTAGCAGAAGAGAAAAACATGGGAACATTAATATGAAAGATTATATACCACAATTACTCTCAACCCTTTCTAGGGAAGGTGACCAGCTCAACTTTTCTCCATTTCCTAAAAGTCTATTGCTTACATCTCATATTGCATATGAACTGCTGTTCTATTCAAGGTTCCTGGTTGTACAACTAAAAACTAACTCTGGTTAACTTTAGCAAAAACAATCTCTATAAAATTAGGCTTGGATTGCGAGATGGAGATTGGGAGAATCGAGGTTTGAGGCCAGTCCGGGCAAAACAGTCTTAAAATGATATGAACAAAATGCAATGGGAGCAAAAGTGAAGGCTGGTGGCTTGCTCCTGTCTGCAGTCAAAGATATGTAAGTGAGCCTAATCTTGGAAAAGAAATAGAATTGAGGTGGGGCTGGAGACTAAAGAGCTTAGAAAACAGTAATAAGTTCACTGTTGCTGGATCACAGGAGAAGGGGAAGAGAAAAGTTAAGACTGGAAACACCATTGAGAGCCTTGGTACCCCCAACCCCATCCCACCACCCCTTTTTTTTTTATAACATTAGGCCACAAGAGACTAACAGAGAAATATGCTGAAGGGTAACAACAGAAGAGTAACCAGACGATGACCCGGAATGGAATTGACTTGGGCGGAAAAGTTAAGACAGCAGATGACAGAAGTTAAGAGCTAACCCCGGGCAGAAGAAATGGAGGAGGAAAGAACGAGGTTCTTCTGTAAAGTCTGATACTATCATTAGACAGCGAGCACAAGTAAAATCCAAAATAACGCTTAAGTTTCTGGCTTTGGGTCGGAGAGTGCATAGCAGTGCCATCTGGAAATAAGGAGACATCGCAGGGGATGGGGAACTGAAGTGAAAGGCCGCTGTCCTGTCAGACAAATTTTGTTAAACTTGTGCACGGGACCTCCCAGCAGAAACGTGAAGGTAAAGCTCAGCTTCTCAGACACGGACCTATCCCCATCAGTTTTCTTAGTTGTCCCTGACACTATTCCGGTTTAACTTTCCCTTTTTAAGAGTGGTGCGTGAAAAACTGAGCAACGAGATGAGAATGTCGCCTCCCTCCCAAAAGGCCCTTAATTATCCCAGTGCCCACGTCGGCTGGGGCTCTTCTTGGCCTTGAGAGTCTTTAAGTCCTGGATCTGCTTCCTGGGACCAGCCAATTCTTCGTGGGCCCCATCCCTCCGAATGCGCACCCCAGTGGGCCGCGGGGTTCCTTACCTCTGCCGGACAGTGGATCCCGCCGCCCGGGCGGCCACTGCTTTGCTGGGAGAGCGCCCTGAGGAGCCCACGTTAGTGCCACTGGGGGTCGGACCTGGCTGTAAGAAGAAACAAATGGACAAAGTAAGCGCCGCGCGCCCGCCCCCGCACCTCCGGCCCAGCCCGCCGACACCGCACCCGCACCGGAGCCCCGGGGAAAAAGTAAGACTCAAGGTAGGAATCAGCGCTTGGGAGAGGTGGGGACCATGGAAGGGAGGCAGGGGACACGTGCCATGCTGGAGGTTGGAGGACGGCAGGAGCTAATGCAGACAGCCAAAAAGTAGCCGAGCACTCAAAAGACCGGCTACTGGAGAGTCTAGCCCAGGCCCCGCCCCCAGATCGGCTGGCAGGGTCCTCGCTGACTCCAGGGACGCCAGGGGTGTCCTGTGATATGCCTGTAGAAATTTTGCTACATATGACTTGGAAAGCGGATGGGCGGGAAGTACAGACTTTCCATCTCCTTTCTCTAAATCACACCCTCCTTCATAAGGCCCAGTCCCTCCCAAAGAGGAACTATAGCCAAAGTTAGATGAGCAGTTTGTCCGGCATTTACTAGGCGCCCATAGATTTGTGCTGATGTGGCCTAACAGACGCACGCGCGACGGGGCGGGGTCGATCCGCAGTGGCCGGCTGGAACTTGGCGGGGAGGAGCTTGGCGGGCGCGAATCCCTGGCCATGGCGGAGAAGCTGGACCCGGACCGGAACCGGGACTCTATTCCCAGTCCAACAGTGCTGTTCCTCCACCCGGACCTGGGCGTGGGCGGCGCGGAGCGGCTGGTGCTGGACGCGGCGCTGGCGCTGCAAGCGCGTGGCTGCAGCGTGAAGATCTGGACCGCGCACTACGACCCCGGCCACTGCTTCGCCGAGAGCCGCGAGCTGCCGGTGCGCTGCGCCGGGGACTGGCTGCCGCGCAGCCTGGGCTGGGGCGGCCGCGGCGCCGCGGTCTGCGCCTACGTCCGCATGGTCTTCCTGGCGCTCTACGTGCTGTTCCTTGCCGACGAGGAGTTCGACGTGGTGGTGTGCGACCAGGTGAGGGGGCGCGGAGCCTGGGAGGGTGGGGAAGGCCGGTGGAGCGAGACTGCCCTTGAACTTGAGCTGTGAACCCATTAAAGTTGCAGAGCACAAGGCTCCTTCGGGAAGCTTTCAGTCTGGACCCTTGAGGGGGACTCGGAGATGTGCATTCTAACTGGGTGGTCAGTGACCCTGAAGCAGGAACATTGGCCTTAGGAGTCGGCATCGTCACCTTTTACATCTAACCTTCGTAACTGGTAATTTCTGTTGATTCTGCTTCCAGGCCCAGGCCCCACGCATGCATCCCACTGTCTCCAGTATTCCCAGTACTCAGCAGAGTCTTGCTTTAAAATCACCAAGCTAAACACATCATGTCTTTATTAAAACTAACATGCCTCCCTGTAGGTCTTCGGTGAAAAGTCCAAGTTCTTTACCTGGTTGAATAATGTTCACCTGCATCTACCGTGTATGGACTAAACGTTTAGGTGTTTCTCAACCCAACGTTTTTTTTAGTTTAAAAAGCAACATGTACTCATAAATCGTATAAAAAGGTACAATGTAAAAGTCCCCTTCTCCGGCCCCCAAGATAGCCATTATCACTAGTTTCCACCACCACTACCCCCTCCTTCCTGCAGTTGCCTGCAGCTACACCAGCACCTGTGTCTGTTTATAGATACATTTTATTTGTATATAATTGGAATTAGAACATACCTACTATTGGAAACGTTGCTTCTTTTCAGCAAGAAAATTTCTATTTGGGATATCCTTGTGTGTCAGTATTAGAGATAACAGTATTAGAGTATTAGGATATCCTTGTGTATCAGTCTTCACAGTGGCTAGAAAACCCACTTTTGTTTGAGTGTACCATGATTTATGCATTCGCCTGTTAAAGCACCAATGTTGTGACCAGTTTTGTGTGTGTGTGTAAATTAGAACACCATTGTGCTTTTATTTATTTTTTTAATGTCTGCAAGCTTGTCCTTTGAGTAAATTCCTAGAAATAAAGTTATGGGTCAAAGAGTGGTTGATTTTAAATGCCAGTAGCTCCAGTGAGCTTTGCCACATGCGTCTCTGACAGTCTGTGGTAGAGCCTCTTGTCCCATGCTCTTGTCCATGTTGGATATTATCAGCCATTTCAGTCTTTGCCAAACTGACAGGTAAAAATAGCATCACATTTTCATGTTTTCTGAATATTTGTGTTTCTAAAAATTTCAGTTTCTTTTGATCATCCTTGTTAATGGTCTGTTTCTTTTTAAGAAATGTGAGCATTTACCAAAAATCATACATTAGTCTAAGTAGCATGCAGCCGAAATGTGATTGAGTAGAGAAAAATTGTGGGCTTTGGAAGTAAGAGAACTGGACTTGAATTTCATATCTGCTGCTTTGAGAAGCTTTGAATAAGTTGCACTCTGGCCCTAAAGCTCATCCTCCAGTGTGTTTAGGGAGCTGAGAGTTAAGTGATTTGTAAAGATTACCCAATAGCACAGTCTCTAGAAGTACCAGCCTGTAATTCATGCTCAGTAATGATTATGGCTGGTATTTTTGAGCACATACTATGTGCTAAATTCTAAAAATTTTACACCTTTCAGTGCATTTCATAATCCCAAAAACTATATGGGTGTTTTGAACCATAAGAAGAAACTGAAGCCTATAGGTGAGTCGAGCACTTGATCATGGTCACACAGGTGGAAGAGCTAAGATTCAAACCTTGGCAATCTCGTTTCTAGGATCTGTGCACTGATAAATTCCTGTAGCTCGTTTTTGAGTTCCTTGGAAACAGAACAATCCTTCGTCTGCACTGTCCAGTAGAGTAGCTACTACCCACTTGTGGCTAGTGAGCACTTGAAATGTGGCCAGTCTGAACTGAAATAGGCTGAAGTGTGAAATAGTAACCTGATTTTGATGATTTAGTATAAAATAAGTATCTCAATATTTTAGTATTGATTATATTTTGAAATAATAATATTTGAGATAAATATATTGGATTTAATTTCATTCAAAAAATTTAATGTTACTCTGATTTTTTTTTTTTTTTGTGGTACTGGGGTTTGAACCCAGGGCCTCATGCTTGCTAAGCAGGCTCTCTATCACTTCAGCCACTCCACCAGCCCTTTCTTATGTTGGGTATTTTTGAGATGGAGTCTCGTGAACTATTTTCCTGGGCTGGCCTAAACTGCAGTCCTCCTGATCTCTGCCTCTTGAGTAGCTAGGATTATAGGCATGAGCCACTGGCACCCAGCTGCTATTTTTTTTTTAATACCCTTTGGACAGCATTGTTGAAAAGAAAAGCATTGCACTTTGAAGCTTTATATGTTTAGCAGACATCTAGCACCTTTCTGTACAGCAGTCATTGTACTGGCATAGAAGGGAATTCTCCAAGCAGAGTCAGAGAGTGCCCATAAGGAACTCAGCAGCAGGCCAGGTGGGGGTCTGTGCCTTTGTTTGGTTGAAGATGAGTTGGCCAGTCACTTACCTGCTATTGATTTTGCCTTGACTAGGTGTCTGCCTGTATCCCAGTGTTCAAGCTGGCCAGACAGCATAAGAAGATCCTCTTTTACTGTCACTTCCCAGATCTGCTTCTCACCAGAAGAGATTCTTTTTTTAAACGGCTCTACAGGGCCCCAATTGACTGGGTTGAGGAATACACCACAGGCATGGCAGACTGCATCTTGGTCAACAGCCAGTTCACAGCTGCCATTTTTAAGGAAACCTTCAAGTCTCTATCTCACATAGACCCTGATGTGCTCTACCCATCTTTGAATGTCACCAGCTTTGACTCAACTGTTCCTGAAAAACTTGATGACCTAGTCCCTGAGGGAAAAAAATTCCTGTTCCTCTCCATCAACAGATATGAAAGGAAGAAAAATCTGCCTTTGGCTCTGGAAGCCCTGGCGCAGCTTCGCGGAAGATTGGTGCCACAAGATTGGGAGAGGACTCATCTGATCGTGGCAGGCGGTTATGACAGGAGAGTCCTGGAGAATGTGGAGCACTATCAGGAGTTGAAGGCAATGGTCCAGCGGTCTGACCTTGGCCAGAATGTGACCTTCCTTCGGTCCTTCTCAGACAAACAGAAGATTTCACTCCTCCACGGTTGCACGTGTGTGCTGTACACGCCAAGCAATGAGCACTTCGGCATCGTCCCTCTGGAGGCCATGTACATGCAGTGCCCAGTCGTTGCTGTTAACTCAGGTGGGCCCTTGGAGTCCATTGTCCACAGTGTCACAGGGTTTCTCTGTGAGCCCAACCCGGTGCATTTCTCAGAAGCAATGGAAAAGTTCATCCATGAACCATCCTTAAAAGTCACAATGGGCCTGGCTGGAAGGGCCAGGGTGAAGGAGAAGTTCTCCCCTGAGGCCTTTACAGAACAGCTCTACCAGTATGTCACCAAGCTGCTGGTTTAACTAGATTCTTTTAAGACCTTTATGCTACATTCATCTCTGTCACTTTTATGGGTTGTAAAACCACTTTTGAAACCAAAAAAGGAAACCTTTAATCTAGTGCAGAAGAGATTTTTTTTTCTTCAATAAACTAGAGTCTTGAATGTGATGAGCCACCTTGCTGTCCACCACTCCTCCCTGTCTACTTTTTCATAAAAACAGTATCTTAGGATCCAATCATTCCAAGTCCTGCCAGCATTGTTGTAAAAATGGTAGAATTATGTTTTTCTGGATTATTGTTCTGCATATAAATATTTAATAATACTGTGCCTTGATTGGTTTTAATAGTTTTAACTGTATCATTATCAAAGTTGATTCATTTGACTTAGTACATAAAAAGAATAGGGCTACTCTGGTTCCCAGAGTCCACTGTTGGCTGTTGGGAAATTTTTGTTGGACCTTTGCTTAGATCCATAACAAGAATACTCAGTATATTTTTATAAAGATGATACATTGTATTTTTACATATGGGAACATGGTAATAAAAGATGTTTCACATAAGAAGAGACAATAAAATACTAGGTTTTGACCTCCGTAGTTTACTTTGATACTGTTAAACAAAATAACTGAACCCGAAGTCAGAAAACTAGGATAAATCGCACATTGACGGGAGGAAGGGATATTGTCACACTTGTGATGTGCGTTGTGTTACTCACCTTTCTAGTACTGTGACTGAGATACTCAACTGGAAAAGGTTTCTTTCGGCTCATCGTTACAGAGGCTTCTGCCTGTGGTTGCTTGGCCTTGGTGCTTCAGGCCTTTGGCTGCCCAATACATCATGACAGGAGCACATAGGCGTGAGGCCTGTTCACTTCATGGTGGCCAAGAAGCAAAGAGAGACAGGAAGGGTCTAGAGTCCCAAAATCCCTTTCAAGGGCACACCCCCAATAACCTGATTTCCTTTCACGAGGCACTACCTACTAAGGGTTCCACCACTTCCCAGTGACACCATGACTGAAGACCAGGCCTTCAACACATAGGCCTTTGGGGACATTCAAGATCTAAAATATAAAGGCCAATGTAATCCACTTACATATGAGGGTAGCAGGATTGCAGTCTTAGTTCAGTCCCAGACAAAAAACGTGAAAGCCTATCTCAAAGCAAAACAGGGCTGGGGGTGTGGCTCAAGTGGTGTAGCACCTACCTAGCAAGCACAAGGTCCGGAGTTCAAACCCTAGTGCCACCAAAGATCTGTAACCCGCATCTTGTTTAGGACCTGCTTCTTAATGCCATGTGAGTCACCAGCTCTGTTAACATTTGTGTAGTAACTAAGCTCCTACTAAGTATAATACATAAATGTTTTTATCCTTCAAGGCGTGGCTCATGCCACCACCATTGAAGCTCTTCTCACTCTCCACTCACCTCTCAATTGAGGACCTCCTTCTATGTACTGTGTGGCACTGACGGGTCTCATTATTTCCCTGTTGATCTAAATGCAAATAAAATTGAATAAACGGTAAACCAAAATTTGCTTAAAAATATAGCAAATATTAGTAGTCATACGCTCCATATTAATGAAAAAGACTTAAGAGCCTACCACCCTACATGATAGGACCTTGAGGAAAGTAATCTGCACCTCAGCCTCTTCGCCTGTAAAGTGGGGTGATTGTATTTTCCTCATAGGGCAGTTATGATGGTGGTTATACTTTGCTTAACAACTGTGCCTGGCTCATGGAGTATAACTTACCAGCTGCTACTGCAATTTGAGGAGATTAAAAATGACTAGACATTCCTATGGTTCATTCCAAACCACCATACCATTCTTTGGGGGTTCTTTAGAGGATGAAATTCACAGGAGTACTTTAACAAAATAGCACTGTGCCAAAAAGAAGTTCTGCAAAACCAAGGTGTTCATAAAGTTCTGTGGGATTTCATTTTCTTTAGCATTGAGAAAACATACGGTCCAGTAAAGTGGGTCTCTCCATTTTGTAGCATGGTGTGCGTGTGTTTCTGGAACTGCAGCCTCTGTCAAAACTGGTGGCTGTGGCCGCCGGGTTTGAGACCGTGGAATTGGTCACCTGATGATCAGAGACCTGTTCACTTCCAAGCTCTTGCTTGTTCCACCATGTTTATGCAGGTCATTCCAACATAGACTGCATGGGTTCATAGACCATGCAGAGCTTCCAGCTTCTGATGCATTGACTTCTGGCCCCTGGACAACTGCAGCTGAGGACAGAGCTGTGCCCACAGGAGGCCTTCACAGCTTCCCTAGTGCCCCTTCGCTGTGTGCTGACAGGATACAGAGTACATGGCAGGCACCTTAGTTCATCCCATGTCAGGTCTGTGATGTGCAAGTGTTCTCCCCCTTGCAGACAAGTGCAGTTAAACACCTTGCCTGCCTGGTCACAGCCTTGAGGATGGGCCACAATCCCAGGCTCTGATGCCAAAGTCTCACCTCTACCTGCCGCAGTCTGCAGGCATAGTGTCCCAACACTGTGGTGGCACTTGTTCAGTCCTCCAGCTCAGAAAGGCTTTGCTACTCACTTTCCCTTTTCCTCAGAAAGGGGGACAATCCATGAGGTAGGTTTGATTCTCTCCCATCTGATCCAACCATCCGTGAAAGACCTGCCTGAGGGCACATCATTGAAAGTGAGTGAGTCAGGTTTCAACCAGTGGAACCCAGTCCATCCAGAAGCCCACATGGTCTAGTGTTTCCCAGTCTGCTCCCTTCAACATGCATAAATACCAGATACCACGGATCCCTCGTGGATACTTGCGGGGCCTGGGTTGTACATAGAAGAGACCCACCTGCTTAGCTAAGGGGCAGAGATGTCATGTTCTCTTCATGTCTGACAATGAGCCAGTGACTAATGACTGGACCCCTCCAGGTCACCTTAGGGTTTGCAATGCTTTCTGGGTTGTCTCCTGTGCTCTTCACAGCATCCTTCCTGGTAATCTGAGGCTGACAGCCAGGAAGCAGTGGAGATGTAATTCACGCCCAGGTCTGGCAAACTCAGGTCTACGACTCCTTCCTTAAAGAAAATGAGGTACACGAACACCACTGCCACCTCTGCTACACCCATGAGCCCTTCTCAGTCCACTTCTGCCAGGGTCACTGTCCTATGACTGCCTCTGCATTTCCAGCTCCAAAAATCAAAGCCAGTCAGAGGTGACAAGGTCACCCAACCTAAATTGCTCTTACACAGTTTGGTAGCAGGCCCAAATAGAGGAAGGGACCTGCCGGGTGTCACCTAGAGGGATAGTTGCAGCCTTCCTCTGACTTCTTTCTGGACATCTTCATGCACATTGAGAGAATAGTGATGACCAGCAGCTGGAAGGACAGTGAGGAGAAAAAGGTGGGGAGAGCTTGGCAAGCAAAACCAAAGTTACACTTAGGAGTTCTGGTGTTCCATTACAAGAACAGCAACTGTGGCCAATATTGTGTATTTCAAAATACTTAGAAGAGGGAATTTTGAATGTTCCCACCACAAAGAAGAAGTAAATATGTGAGGTGACTATATGCTAAATACCCTGATTTGATTATTATACAATGTATACATGTATCAAAAACACACTGTATGTCCTAAATATGAACAGTAGTGTGTCAATTAAAAAGTGGCCATGGAAAAAGAAAGTAACATTTTCAATATTAAAAAAATAATTCTATTGATCACTTGTGTTTTTACAACATATTTTTAGACATTTGTGCTTCCATCTAATGCCCTATTTGAGATAGATAGTTTGCTCTTCATAATAATCCCTTATTATTCTATATTGAGATGGCTTCAATTTTTTCCAGTACAAACAGCTCAGAGAAGAAATAATTGACTTTTAAGTTCCAAAACCAAATATTTTTAAATTTCAAAAGCAACTTTGGAAAGCAAGGGTCAGGCACAGTGACCCACATCTGTAATGCCAGCTATTCAGGAGGCAGAAAAGCGAGAGGATCATGATTCAAGGCCAGCCCAGGCAAAAAGTTAGCGAGACCCCATTTCAACCAACATGCTGGATATGGTGTCACATGCTTGTCATCCCAGCTATGCAGGAGGCCATAGGTACAAGGATTGAGGTCTGAGGCCAGCCTTAGGCAAAAATGTGAGACCCTACCCGAAAAATAACTAAAGCAAAAGAAAGTTTGCTGGGGCATGGATTCAAGTGGTAGAGTGCCTGACTTCAGATCACAGGGAGGGGAGAGGAAGGAAAGGGATAAAGCGAGGGAAGGAGGAAGACAAAACGAAAAATCTGAATTTAAAAAGAAGACATGAAAAGGTTGCAAAACTGCTTAACAGTATATCGAAATAGCAATCCTCACATTAAAAAAAAAAAAAAAGCTAACCAGCAATGTTTATTTTCAAGCCAAATTGCCATGTTAACTTGCTCATATTCAGCAAAATTGTAGGCTGTCTTTGCATTGTGGAAGCCAGAAACCTAACTTCCCCCTCCAGCTTAGGCAGAAAAGGAGGAGGTTTTAGAAGCTGCTGGAGAGCTCACATAATTCAAGGCAAGATGCATAGTTGAATTTCATATATTTCACTATTTCGTTGTCTTCCATTATAGACTAGTTTCTTCCTCTTGACAGGAGACACAGTCACTAATAGCAACCAAGACCTCCACCTTGCTGGAGGAATCAGCCCTCTTTCAGATTCTGAAAAACATCAGTGAAGGACTATGGTGGACCCTTCTTGGTTTGAGTGCTTCACTTATGTTAATGAAGCACTTCCCTGAGACAAGGTGCTTAAGTATGCTTTTACAGGCTCCTGTCAGCACCTAACCTTGAGCCTATGCTGGGGCTGCTTTCCACCATCACACAGCAGCAGGAATCGCAGCCGAGAGAGGATCAGGGATTGTACCAAAGGGAGAGAAAGTAGACCCCAGAGGAAGGTGAGCTGGGCAGACAGTAGTGTTCCCTCCAGGGCTCAGGAGTGGAGACTCCTCAAAAACGTACACCCTGGGCCCTGGCAGACCCAGCCACATACCTTCTGCTCATTGCTTTCCACTCCACAGTAGTTTTACTCATGTATTTAACGCCTATCTTGTGCAAGGGACTGGAGAAAAGAAATGAAGCTAGCAGCTTTATATTCTGCATTGCTTGATAGTAATATTCCCAGAACTAACTTTTCCTTTGTTCACATTTCAATAATCATATTTTTCCTATATTTTAGTTTTGAATTTTTGGGTTAGTCTAATAAGCAGAAAAGTCTTGGATTTAAGGTTTATGTGGGGGTTAGGAGTATCTAATATACTGGGCTTTAATACTTTATTGAAGACTACTAGAGGGTTGGAGGCATGAC